GTGCTGATGGGTTCATAGCTCAATGTGGTGTCAGGGGGTAGGGCCTGTTGGTGAGGTGACCCGAAGAGTTTATGTCCCGCCTGGGCTCCTTCCCTCACCGCTCCCTGCCTCCTGCTGCCGTGCCAGGAGCTGTTTCTCCTCTGCCATGCTGTCCCTGCTATGGCCTGAAACCTCTGCAAACTGCGAGCCAAATAAACCTTCCTCCTTTACTCTGGGGGTGTTAAATGTGTCTCAGCAAGGAAAAAGTAACTAAGACACAGAGCCCTAAAATTTCTTTCTGGACAAGCCCTAAAATAAGAGGGTTTTTCAGAGCCTGTGGGGAGTGGGTGCTTTGTTATTTTCTTTTCTCTCTCGCTTTCTTTCTTTTTTTCTTCCTCCTTCCTTTTTTGCTTTTGGCAGCGTTGGGAATGAGCTCTAGGGTCTCGCACATGACAGGCAAGCACTCTACTCCTACACCCTTACCCTTACATGTCAATACAAACTGGCCTTTTTTTTTTTTCCGGTACCGGGAGTCGAACTCCCCACCTCACACTTGCCAGGCAGGCGCTGTGCCGCTGAGCTAAATCCCCAGCCCCCAAACTGGCCTTTGGAGTTAGTTTTGCTGCAAAACCAATTTTCTCTACTATAGTATCAGACTAACAAATTGACAGAATTTTTTTTTTTTAAATATGCCCTCACTATAGTGCCCAGGCTGGCCTCAAATTCTGGACTGAGGTGGGATAAAAGAAATAAAAGATGTATAGAAAGGAGATGAGGAAATCATAACTAACTAAAGATTGCACTTCTAGGGCCAGGGATATAGCGCAGTGCACAGTATCTGCCTGGCAACTTGGAGGTTGTGAGTTTGATTCCTGGTTCAAAAAAAAAGGACCCCACTTCTAAGAAGACTGCAACTTCCAGGCCTCAACCAAGGTCACCCGAGACAGCCCCACATCAACATTCCTTGGCTAGGGGCTGGGGGTTTAGCTCAGTGACACAGTGCCTGCCTGGCAAGCAAGAGGTCGTGAGTTAGATGTAACAGTTAACAAGTTACAACGGCTTGTTTACTCCGAGGAGCTCCCGTGTTCTCAGGCTGGCTTCACCCTGCACGTGTAACTATTTTCCAGCTTCAGAGGCTCCCAACATTTGACAGTTTGGGAGCAAAAGGAAAGAGGAAGCTCTCTGCGTCCTGGCCTTTTTCATCAAGCCCTGTGAAGGGCGGGAAAAGCGGAGCGCAGCTGCGCTAGGGGCGACTTCAGGGAACGCGCTGGGGAGATGTGATAGGCTTGGAAACGACGCAGGTTTGGGTTTCTGGCTGGCGGGTCACACTTGTCCTACCCTCCAGCAGCCTGCAATTAGGGGGAGGCTCATACATTATTCATCGTTTCAAGGAACAGAAATCGCTAGAGGCCAGCGGTAGCTACATGCGGATCACTTCCCATACAAATGAGGCCGCTTGGGTGGGAGAGGGCAATTTGAGCACAGCGCGTTCCCATAAATCCTAGGTGCAGCTGGGAAGAAGCAAAGGGCAAGTATCCAGATGGGTGCGATTCTTCGGTCTTCTACACCCAAATTTTAGGGTGTTTTTTTTGTTGTTGGGGCGGGGGAGTCTTTTTGAGACAGGGTCTAGCTACGCAGTTCAGGCTGGCCTTGAGCTCACACTGTAGCTCAGGCTGGTCTTGAATTCACAGTGCTCTTCCTGCCTCAGCCTTCCCCCATGCTGGGATTACAAGTGCCACCAGGCCTGGGACCACCTTCCGTTATTTTTTATTTTTTTCACTTTCTTTTAAAGCTGACATTTTCTTTTTTTTTTTTTTTTTGTTTTTTTCCCGGTACCGGGAACCGAACTCACGACGTTGCGCTTGCCAGGCAGGCGCTTTGCCACTGAGCTAAATCCCCAGCCCCTAAAGCTGACATTTTCTGTTTGAAACGCCTCCTTGATCAACAAGGAATGATTGAAAACTACAGTGAAGCCAGGCGTGGTGGTGCACGCCTGTAATCCCAGCACTTGGGAGGCTGAGGCAGGAGGATTGTTGTGGGAGGCTGAGGCAGGAGGATCATTGCGAACTTGAGACCACCTGGGCTACAAAGTGAGTTCAAGGCCATCCTGAACTGCATAGCGAGGCCCTGTTTCAAAAAAAAAAAAAAAAAAAAAAAAAAAAAAAAGAAAGAAAGAAAAAGAAAACTACAGTGAATATTTAAAATTTAAAATGTTTTACTGTAAACTGTAAGACATTGCCATTAATCCCGTTCAAATCCTTCCTCTCAGTTTGAATACACTCATCCCATTCTTGCTACTTATTGAAGCAGATCTGTAGATTCTCTTGTGTTTTTATGAGGTGTGATAAAAAAAATACAATGAATACTAATGCCAAGTGGCATCCATCAAGCGGGACTGGTGGTGCACGCCTGTAATCCCAACACTCAGGAGGCTGAGGCAGGAGGATAGTTGCAAGTTCAAGGCCAGCCTGGGGTACAAAGTGAGTTCCAGGCCAGCCTGAACTGCATAGGAAAACCCAATTTCAAAAACACCAAAAAAAAAAAAAAAAAAAGTGGCATCCATCAGAAAGGCAGGGGCATAAAAACATTACAGTGTGTCCCAACCCACCTTGTTCACCAGATCTGGCACCATGCAACTTCTGGCTCTTCTCCAAAATCAAATGAACATGAAAAGTAAATGTTTTTGATTGATTTGGTACACTGAGGCATCCAGGACAGCATAATTGAAGACACTCGTGAAAAAGGACTTCCAGAGCTGCTTCAGAAAGTAGCAAAGTAAAGGGAGAGGATTTTATTTTTTTTGTACCAGGAACTGAACTCAGGACCTTGTGCTTGCCAGGCAGCCACTTATGCCATTGAGCTATATCCCCAGCCCCGAGGATTATTTTTTTTAATTGAAAAGCGGGGCGTGGTGGCACACACCTGTAATCCCAGCACTCGGGAGGCTGAGGCAGGAGGATCGTTGTGAGTTCAAGACCAGCCTGGGCTACACACAGTGAGCTCAAGGCCAACCTGAACTGTATAGTGAGACCCTGTCTCAAAAAAGACCAAAAAAAAATTTTTTTTAATTTAAATGTTCACTGTGGTTTATTTATTTATTTATTTATTTATTTATTTATTTTTGTCTTTTTGAGACAGGGTCTCGCTATGCAGTTCAGGCTGGCCTGAGCTCACTGTGTAGCCCAGGCTTGTCTCGAACTCATAAAGATCCTCCTGCCTCAGCCTCCCGAGTGCTGGCATTACAGGTGTGTGGAAAGATAATAGCATTTACCTCACACGGCTGTTGTTAAAAGTTTAAGAACATACATAAGGGGCTGGGGATTTAGCTCAGCGGCAAAGCCCCTGCCTGGCAAGCGCAAGGTCATGAGTTCGGTTCCCGGTACCAGAGAAAAACCAAAAAAAAAAAAAGAACATACATAAAGCACTTAGTATCGGGCCTGGCAAATGGTAAACGTTAAATATGCAATTTACTATTTATTGGTGCCCCCGTTTTACAGACAGGCAAACAAGTATCTTGCCTAACGTACATAGAAAATGGAAGGAAAAGGATCTTACACCAGGTGTGAAATTCCAAGTCTCTGCCTTTTATTTTTTTATTTTGTCTTTTTGAGACAGGGTCTTGCTATGCAGTTCAGGCTGGCCTTGAGCTCACTTTGTAGCCCAGGCTGGTCTCGAACTCACAACAATCCTCTTGCCTCAGCCTCCCGAGTGCTGGGATTACAGGCGTGCACCACCCTGCCCAACCTACCTTTTTCTTTTTTTTTTTTTTCGGTATCAGGAATCGAACTCACGACCTCACGCTTGCCAGGCAGGCACTGTGCCGCTGAGCTAAATCCCCAGCCCCCTGCCTTTTTCTTTAAACACAAAAAGTTATTCTCTATACAGCCAACGGTTAATCTGAAGCAGAAAGAGTCCTCTTTTTCTTCTCTGGTCTGTCCCCAAGCTCCTACCAACGCCTGGCTATGCAAGCTGCACACCAAGTGCATGCTAAATTAAGAGACGGAGACATTTAGCTCAGGGGCAGAGCAAGCACATGGACTTGGGTTTGATCCCTAGTACTTTATTTTTTTATTTTTTGGATTTTTTTCCGGTACCAGGAGTCGAACTCACAACCTTGTGCTTGCCAGGCAGGCGCTGTGCCGCTGAGCTAAATCGCCAGCCCTGATCCCTAGTACTTTAAATTTGAAGATTTGTGAGGCCAGATGTGGCAGGGCAGGCCTGTAATCCCAGCATATGGGAGGCTGAGGCAGAAGGATCATCTCGAGTTTGAGCCCAGCCTGGGCTACATTAGGAGCTCAAGGTTGGCCTGAACTACGTAGTCTCAAAAAATAAAAACCAGCTTTCTGAGGCTGGGTAGGTATCGAGAAGTTTCATGGTCTCCAGCAAGATCACTGCTGTACGCGCGCAGGTGTCCCCCGCTACAAACCAGAAGAGGCCAGCAAACATCATCTTCCTCTTCTCAAAACAGATGACCAAAATCTAATGTCCTGCAAACTGCAGACTTCGGGAGTCCTAAATCTGCCCCGGCCATGCCCTCTCGCCTCTGTATCAATTTTTAAAATGTATTTTTTGTTTGTTTGTTTTTTCGGTACCGGGAATTGAACACAACCTTGCGCTTGCCAGGCGGGCGCTGTGCCTCTGAGCTAAATCCCCAGCCCCTAAAATGTATTTTTTTGAAACAGGGTCTCCCATGTAGTTCAGGGGGACCTCCTCGAGGGAAGACGCCCGCCGCAGCCTCGGGAAAGCTGGGATGGCAGGCGTGACCTCCAGGAGCCACGACCTCGGTACCACTTTAGAATTCTAGAGTCCAACTCCTTCCGGCGAGGCGCAGCACCGCACCTGCCAGTGAACTACACTTCCCACAATTCCCAGTCCCACCGGCCGAGCCAACGCGCTCTGGGATGGGGAGGAAACTGAGCTGGTCGCTCCGGCACGGGACGTAGCCTCCCCACACGTCTTTCCTGTGTCCTTCTGGCAAAAGTCCGCAGTAAGAGAGATTACCATTATCCCTGGTAACACCTCTGCAACTCGAGGGTGCCCCCGCGTGGCGCAGCACATGGTCTAGCCCAGCAGCGACCTGACTGCCTGCTACCGGAAGGGCGAGCCGCGCGCGTGCGCAGAGCGCAACATGGGGGCGGGGAGCGGCGGATCCCCTCTCTTGGGTCGGTGAAGGTGAGTAGCGGGCGGGAGGGGAACGTTTCCCACCCGGGCGACACTCACCGGTAACCACCGCCGTAGCCTTAACCACATCCATCCCCCCAACTCTACAACCCATGGATCCCAACTGATGCTCTGTTTTAACGTTTACATATGAAACTCCTACTTCTAGTTAGGTCATTTCAGTATATCGTTGCCGCGATATGTGTACCAGTCTTTCATCTCTGTAGAACCGTGCATTTGTTTTACTTCGGTTTTTTGAGACAGGATCTCCCTATGTAGCCCCGGCTGGCTCAGAACTTGACATCCTCCCAGCCTCTGGAGTACTACTTGGTATTAAGGCGGTGTGTCACCACATCTGCCTAAAACCATGCATTTTCATACATAGACATGAATATTTTGGGAGGCGCTTACCTTTCATCTTGGTTTTCCTGGTACCTAGCAAATAGCTTCCCAATGAGCTGTGAAGCTTAAAGGTTTTTGGACCCATGATTCTGCTCAATCTAATATAAGGCTAGATATATACTTTCCAGTGTTGTTTCATGTGTGTAAGTCTTCGTCCGAGAAAACTACTTGAAACGATGAAGACCATGACACAGTCACAAAAAAATGGTGCTGGTGAAGTTTATAATCTGTTGAAGATACAATTAAGCAAACATGCTTATTGTGCCCCAACTTGACTTTTTTTTTTTTTTTTTTTTTTTGTCTTTTTGAGACAGGGGTTCACTGTGTAGTTCAGGGTGGCCTTAAACTCACTTAGTAGCCCAGGCTGGCCT